AGGCGTGGTGGAAGAGTCCTCACAATTCTGTAATTAGCACACAATTGCAGCCATGTGTCTCGAAGGATGGCTTTCACTTATGGAGGTTAAAGAAAATTACTTTTTTGATATTAGTATTCACTGAAAAAGCCTCAAACATTGGGGGGGAAAAGAGGCTGGAAAGAAAAGAGGTGAAAAAATTGTCATTAAAGTGGTGTTAAAGTAAAATATACAGAGGCTGTAAACACGAGGGTGATCTGAAGTGGGAAAATATGGCCAAAGATCTCCTTCACACTGGGTTGTGTAGGGGTCTGAGACCATAAGTCCTGTGTGCCTTTGACTTAGGAGGACACACTGCTTCTCTCGTAAATGCAGTAGATATTGCTAACATTTTTTTTTTTTTAGTCTTTGTTGTTTGTTAAATCCTTTCTAGAATGTTATGTTCATCATCTGGCTTAATGGCAGGTTTTGCTCTTTTCATTAAAAAAAGCTGTATACATTTGGGAAAATCAGTTTGTCAAAATCTCTTTAGTAGCCTTCTACTTTTTCGTGCTATGCCAGATATCTTCATTAAAGAAATAAGAAGTACTATAATAACATTTTCACCAAAGAATTAAACTTTTTGTTTAAAAAATGGGGAAACAACCTTAATATCCTTCAATGGGAAGAGGATAATAAATTACAGTATCACCTCCTAATAATGACTGTTTTAACAGGTTGCAGTATGCAGCAAGCAGAAATTTCATCCCTGACTTCAAATCCGTGGAAAAACTATATCAATTAAAGTAATATTTTTGCATAAAAATGTCATTCTATTACAATTAGAATTACGTAGCCAATCCTGTATTTCCCCACAGAAATAAAACTCCTCAAAAATAATTTCAAGTAATTAGGGAGAGTAATGTCTTTTTTTTTCTTTTGCAATATATTTAAGGTACATGGGACAGTTATACCCATACTTGGTTTACACCTGAGTCAACAAGAAATATAAATACCCTGGTATTTTTGAGCTTTCTGCCTATGCCTTGATGCTAAACTATACACGCCTCAACAATGAAAAAACAATATTTTATTTGTTATGTTAATATAACACTTCTTTTTCTTTATTCAATAGGTGGCCTATAATTTTAAAGTATGACAAATCAGACACTAATGACGGAATTCTTGCTTATGAGATGGATGGAGAATTGGATGCTGCTGGGCTTGCGTGCTGTGCTCTTCTTGCTGATCTACTTAGTGGCCATATGGGAGAGTTTAATCATCCTCCTCCTCCCTAATCTTGACCAAGGCCTCCACACCCCAATGTATTTTTTTCGTCAGGCATTTATCTTTCTTAGATCTGTGTCTCATTTCTGTCACAGTTCCCAAATCCATCCTCAACTCTACCACCTTCATTGACACCATCTCTTTCCCGCGGTGTGTGCTGCAGTTATTCCTGGTGATATTGTTGGCTGGCTCAGAGATTGGCATCCTTACCGTGACGTCCTTCGATCGCTACGTTGCCATCTGCCGCCCTCTGCACTATGAAGCTGTCATGAGCAGAGGATCCTGTGTCCAGCTGATGGCTGTGTCCTCGCTCAGTGGAGGGGCCTTGGGAATCTTATACTCAGCAGGGACATTCTCCCTGGATTTTTGTGGCTCCAATAGGATACATCAGTTATTCTGTGATGTCCCTGCCCTACTAAACCTCACTTGTTCTGCAGAGCACGTCATCATTAATGTCAGCGTGGTCATTGGGGTCTGTTACGCTTTTTCATGTTTAGTTTGCACTGTGGTCTCCTATGTGTATATTTTCTCCGCTGTGTTAAAGTTCCCATCCAGACAGAGCTGATCCAAAGCCTTTTCCACTTGCATGCCTCACCTCATTGTTGTGAGCACGTTTCTTGCAACAGGAGCTGTTGCTTATTTAAAGCCAGCTTCTGATGTACCTTCTATTTTAGATTTGGTGGTGTCTGTGTTCTATTCTATAGCACCTCCGACCTTGAACCCTGTTATTTACTCTCTGAGGAACAAAGACATTAAATCAGCTCTAGGTAAAGTCCTGTGCAATGTCAGAAGCAGCAGAGTAATAGAAAGGTGGCTAAAGTTGAAGCTATGAAGTAATATTTCCTTTTTTATTCTGCCACTAACTAGCTGTTTGAAATTATTTCTATTTAGAGATCAATATATCAAGGGGTCTTGTTAGTGATATCTCAGGTAGCCGGTTATAATAGAAAGTAAGTCCTTTTCTACACTCCTTCACTTTACATTTCCTACTGGTATAGAAATTATGCAGGTGGGGCTGGCCGTTTAGTACAGTTGGTTAGAACACAGCCT